ATAAAGCAACAGCGTGATTGGGAATTTTCTAAGCTGAGGGCACTCTTCCATCAGCTTACTAACTTACATCCTCAGTCCTCACAACCCACGGCCTCAGTAACCAAGCTCACAACCTTCTCCACTGTCCACCAACTAATCAATCGCCCAAGTGATTCTCTCATAGGCCTGCTCACCAACCAACTAGCTCACACACTTCGTCAGTGTCCCCCAACTAATCAATCGCTCGACTGATTCTCGCATAGGCCTGCTCACCAACCAACTAGCTCACACACTTCGTCAGTGTCCCACCAACTAACCAATCGCTCAACTGATTCTCGCATAGGCCTGCTCACCAACCAACTAGCTCACACACTTCGTCAGTGTCCCACCAACTAACCAATCGCTCAACTGATTTTCGCATAGGCCTGCTCACCAACCAACTAGCTCACACACTTCGTCAGTGTCCCACCAACTAACCAATCGCTCAACTGATTCTCGCATAGGCCTGCTCACCAACCAACTAGCTCACACACTTCGTCAGTGTCCCACCAACTAACCAATCGCTCAACTGATTCTCGCATAGGCCTGCTCACCAACCAACTAGCTCACACACTTCGTCAGTGTCCCACCAACTAACCAATCGCTCAACTGATTCTCGCATAGGCCTGCTCACCAACCAACTAGCTCACACACTTCGTCAGTGTCCCACCAACTAACCAATCGCTCAACTGATTCTCGCACAGGCCTGCTCACCAACCAACTAGCTCACACACTTCGACAGTGTCCCACCAACTAACCAATCGCTCAACTGATTCTCGCATAGGCCTGCTCACCAACCAACTAGCTCACACACTTCGTCAGTGTCCCCCAACTAACCAATCGCTCAACTGATTCTCGCATAGGCCTGCTCACCAACCAACTAGCTCACACACTTCGTCAGTGTCCCACCAACTAATCAATCGCTCAAGTGATTCACTCATAGGCCTGCCCTCCAACCAACTAGCTCAACACTTCGTCAGTGTCCCACCAACTACTAGTAACCAATCGCTCAACTGATTCACTCATAGACCTGCTCACCAACCAACTAGCTCACACGCTTCGTTAGTGTCCACCAACTAACCAATCGCTCAACTGATTCTCTCATAGGCCTGCTTACCAGCCAACTAGCTCACACACTTCGTCCATGTCCCACCAACTAACCAATCGCTGAACTGATTCACTCATAGGCCTGCTCACCAACCAACTAGCTCACACACTTCGTCAGTGTCCCACCAACTAACCAATCGCTCAACTGATTCTTTCATAGGCCTGCTCACCAACCAACTAGCTCACTCACTTCGTCAGTGTCCCACCAACTAACCACTCGCTCAACTGATTCTCGCATAGGCCTGCTCACCAACCAACTATCTCACACACTTCGTCAGTGTCCCCGAACTAACCAATCGCTCAACTGATTCACTCATAGACCTGCTCTCCAACCAACTAGCTCACACGCTTCGTTAGTGTCTAACCAACTAACCAATCGCTCAACTGAGTAACTGCTTCACCTATAGTCGCACAAGCTAACCATCTATCTCACTAATCCACCGAAGCTCCTCTTTCTCACCAATTTAACAATTGCTCACCAGATTCACTCATAGCTACATGTACACTAACCCACCCACGGATCGATCACTCACTCATTATTGCATCACTCAACTGCCACCCGACTACCTCACTGTCCCAGATCCGCACTGCCCACACTTACCCATTGGAAAACATGTGGCAAGCAAATATGTGTATACCAGTAGCACTTGCCCACCATTCAGTGCGGGTTGAAGTGCGGGACATGTTTGTGCTTTGATGCTCTCACATGTCACAGCATAATCCGTGAAGCACTTTTCGACTCGACAACCTTGTCGGACAGCAAGGTAAATAGGATGATTAATAATATACGTATTATGAAAATAGATTTGAAGAGAGTAGGAGTAATCACATCGGAAATACCATCACTTGTAATGTGATGTTCATTTGACCAAATTACCAGAAGACATCTCATGTGCATTCGGATGTTATTCCGATGAATTTCCAATGATATATCTATATCTTTATTGGTTGTTTATGTGGCTATGTAGTTTTAATCGTCAACAGCGTAGATTTTAGATAGCGTTCAGCTGTTCAACATGCCGATGTATCCTAATTACTTGATGACATATGTCAGACTATACAAAGTTAACGTGACATGTTCACATGTGTGGACAACACAACGTGACTTTCATCATGATCGTCAGAGGGTGCGTGAAACATCTCTGTCGCTACACTGAACTGGGGACGTACACACAGACCCCGATTGCAGTGCTTGCATGCTGTAAATTATCAATATGTCTGACTACAGCACGCCACAAACTCACTCGATATTATCGCGATTATTTCATGTTTATTCCCTTATCAACACCCACAAACCATCTCTAATCCTGTCCCATCTAATGTCTAGGAAGTCAATAAGAGAGACAATAGCCTAATGGTTAATTGATCAGAACGGAAGAGAACAAAACGGAACAGCGCAAGAGCTTCAGAAAGGAACAGAACAGTGAAGATGGTATTGTTTGTGGCTGGAAGCGACAGTACCAAGCTGTGTCTCATGACTGAATTCATGATATCCCACTGATTGTGGTAGATAAATTACATCGTGTGATTGGTATGAGGACGCCTACCAGGGTATCCGTCCATGGCATATCGTTAATGGTGTGGTGGTATCCGAATGATGACATCACATTAGTTCGTTCATGATCAGGCACCTTACTTGTATCGGAGAAATGGTATCGTATGCATGGTATGCATTATATTGCAATACATTGATAGTGTTATCACGATGGTACCACATAGGCGGTATCACAAAGCACACTGGAGATATTTTCATAGTGTCACATATGTTTTACTACATTCGTATCACATATTTTTAGTCATATCGGCGTTATTTCATTGGTGATAACGTCATGGCATCAGTTACCACATTGATCGCCCCACATAGGTGATATCATCGATCTGTCACATTGATGTTTTCACATTGGATGGAACTTGTTGGTAGGAGTATTCGATCAACCATTATAAATACCTTATATTATGAGCAGAACAAAACACGTAACCCTTTAGGTTGGCATTTACAACTAAATACAAATAGTTCTTGTGTTACTGGGATCTTACATGTACTTTTTATCCAGATTGAAAAGAACTAGATATTTGTGAAAAGCCTCATAACCCTTTAAGAGAGTTAATGTGATAAGAAGTCAGTTTATGATATTTGATACATGGATATCAGGAATGAAATCGTTAAAGAAGTGAGTCCATGGATAGTTGAAATCGGAGCCTGAGAGATGGGTTATATCAAGGGAATGACTATATTGTGAGGACACCGGCTCAGGATGGACCAACTTTGATGTTGAATCTAATTTATCATGGCAAGACCTAAGAGAAGAGTATTCCATTAATTATATTGGAATACTGAAAATCGTCAGAATTTACAAGATCAAACGACGATATTTAAAAATACATTTATCAGAAATACATTTATCAGAATAAAATAGCATTAGCCAGATTTCAAATCTTTGTCACAAGGAAGCATTCGGTATTCAATCCTGCAATAAATGTTTAAAATTAGATTTCATCCACATTTATCTTCTGGAGTGAGAGGAGGTTGGCAAGGGTAGGTTAATGAAGTCTATTCTGTTCAAAAGCATCCCAATACATAACTAAGGCATTGTTTGCTCGATGTTGAGGAAAATGAATAGATTCTCCTTAAAGCTTTGTAATATAACGGCCATTGCAGTTCCTACATATCTAAAAGAATCAGGAATTGTAATATACTCTCTCTGAATTAGACGAAAGATTAAATCCTCACAAACTGAACCTCAAAGGTTACCACGTTCGTGTATTGCTGTCAATCTTAAGCAACTATAGACGAGAGTAGTATCGTTTTCGCTTCTGGTGTGGGTTGGGTTTGCTAACATACTTTCATCCTTGGCCAATGCTTTCCAAGTTTTAACACAGAGTTATTAATACAAATAATAACACACCAAAGCTCATCAAAATGATCCATTGTTTAGTTAACCAAAAGTCAGAATGTGAACAACTCCCATAATTGTACTAAATGAGCCGTTACCAGATATTTCATCACCTTTCAAGTGTACAACCTCATCAGTAGCATGTGGTCACCTTAACCATTATGCACATAATATTAGCTCATTTTCTCTGTGTTGCACGTTTCTCTTTAGTAATTGCAATTGATCGTCAACTTTGTTCTCAAGTCCGTGATAACTTTATTGAGCCCGTAACTGAAAGACAAAGACATTGGGAAATGCGTGACATGTTTGAAAGGTATTCAAATTCAAACAGATTTCTTATGGGCTGTTTTCGATCGTTCAGAGGTCGCCGTCTAAGCCGACGGTCCCCACACACCGCTGCAAGCCATCAGAAACATATTTGAGTTAATCCGGGCTGCACTATGCCCATGAGCCTCTCCAATTCGCCCTATTGGTAGTGTCTTTCTGTCAAGCTGTCATACCGACGTTTCTCACCGAGTCCTCGATGCCAGTTCAATATGTCAAAATCTTCTTTTCTGACAATCAGAAAGCTGGTCTACCCAGACAAGACTCGGCTAAGTGTGTAAAATCGAATGAGGCTCGATCAGAATTCCATATTAATGCGGAAAAAATGAAGGTATTGTTTCCGATAGGTGATTAAGAAAAACGCAACATGATCGCGAGCGGTCACTCTTTCCAATCGTAATCGAATCAAACCACTTCCTTCGTCTCCAAATCTGAAGCGATCATGGAGATAGGACATTTTTATTAGCCTTCTGTTTGGTTTCATTTTACGTCTAATACAATTTGTATAACATCGAAAATCCCACACATTATCTTTCCGTTGCCGACCCAAGCATCCCCCCGTGTTTGCTTCCCCCCGTACCGAGCGTCAATCCCATCATTGTGGCCCACATGATCACGTGATCTATTCCTGCGACACCGCCAGGTAGCGCGCTATATAAGCTATGATAAAGAGAAGCCAAGCCTTTGAGACTGGAACGCTGAAATCTTATAACATCAGATAGGTGAAACAGACAGTCGACAAAATCCACTTAGGACTGGGAACGGAACGACTAACGGACACTTTTTCTCTCTCCAGTAAGTACATTTGATGCGCCTTTCGTTTTTATTTCTTAGGCTGAAACTTTGATCAAACTTTAAGTTGTCGCAAGGTAGGTATAGGAATATGGTTCGTCGTGTAGCTATGACACTTCGGTGCTTTAAAAGCACGGCGTTGATAGATTGCGTTGAAGTGTGTGTGTGTGTGTGCGTGTGTGTGTGTGTGTCACTTTTGCATGTCACTATATCATCTTCGTGAGTGACTTTTACGAGTGTTCAATAACGGTGAGCGACTGGTTCTATGTTAATGATATCGATCATTCATGGTAGTGTCTGGTGGTAATGATATTCTTGGTCGACTATTCTAGATTTTAAATTTTCTGTGTCCAATTTTAAAAGGTAGTGAGGTTCCGACTGTTTCCCACTGCGAATCGTGATAACTCATAAATGTGTACCCTCATTGTTTAAGCTACTAGGGCATAGCCGAATCGCAGTTTCCATTTAACTGGTAGACAAACACTTCGTATAGCAATAGAGTCATTAGAAACAAGTAGCAGTAAAACTTAACAGTAGCGTTAAATTTATAACCACGAATATCATCCAACAACCGCCCACTAAGTGACGCCAAAAGCACAAATATGTTCCTTTAAAACTGAGTTTAGACATTTCAACCATGTTTTTATTGGATTTAGTAGATGGTCCAAGTACAAAACACAGCTCAATGAATATATCCGTGAAATACGACCCCGAGATTTTACCTAACAAGTCTACATGGCCTTTGTTTTAAATGGACGTTAACCTCAGCATCGATCCGCTTTTAGTAATGAATACCACGAAATGCAGAGATAAACACGAGCCAGGCAGCCACGTCGCTAATGCTTGATCTGTATCACAGAAGTTATGTTACCGGATTGACCAGAACCTGTTAATCATGGTAATCTTTCCACCAACATACAGAAATATATGTTGTCAATACAAGCCACTAACCAGCACAGATTTTCTGCCGAAATAGATTCCATTTGGCGTCAAGGGCAAATATCTGTAAAAAATTATATGAAATGACCACTGAAAATCAGTGATGACACAGGTGTATTTGTATTAAAAAGACGTTTAAATGAAGTGGTTATCATTTAATTGGCTGACATTCGTGTTATACAGTACTTTGGAAAAGGGGTATTGTACTGATACTGATTTATTTCTGAAAGTTACAATGGATTCACATTGAACCTTCAGATGGACCATGTCGTCAGATTATTTGATCCTTCCTCATTGTAATGTCTTTCCTCTTCCCTTGCTTACACTGACTTGGGAGAAGCAACGAACCTCAACATCTCCGCCGCTCGTTCCTCAAGTCTCCTTTCGCTTCACTGTAGTTGATGATGTGTATCGCTCACCTCGTCTCCCATGTCAGGCAAATTGATGTATTGATCGTAAGCTTGTATCTCCCAGCCTAGGAAATTGTCAAGATTCGCGTAACTATTATTTTAATGTTTTATTAATTCAATGTTACTGTCGACTTTTTGTGCAGCCGATAAATGGTGAAGAGTGTCTGTCAACTAATCATGTCTTCATCGTGTCTTGATCATGCCACCGGTAGGGCTGGATACGCTTCCTTTTCGCGAAGATCCAGAATCATGACTATCTTAAAGTGATAGATAAAGACATGCTCAAAGATAGGAAAAGACATGCTAGGCCTTTTCCCGAATGCCCCACTAATTTTCAGTGATCCTGTTATATATTTTCATCGTCATTTTGCCTTTTACGCCCACTGGGATCTGTTTCGGTGGCTAATCGAGACTGGTTATTCTCAGGCGTTGACGTTTTATATCGTGATATATTCGGAATCGTCCAATCGTTTTTAGCAGAGATGCTTTATGATTACTGAAAGGGTTTGTGGTTTTTTTTCATTACAACAAAGAACTTCAGCTTTACTCTATATCCTACTGTTCAACCTCTGGCATCATACATGTGCCAAATGATCAAACACCAACCGAAACGTATAGCTAACCATGTACAAAGACATCCCCAACGCAATTTCCCACAACCATTTAATCTGAAACGTACAGAGTGCTCCGTATCCTTCATTACTGCGAATTTACAACAACTTCAACATTAATTATTCAACATGTAAAGTAAGCCGGAGGGAGGCTATGTGTGTTGTAAATGGCAAAGCCTACCGTAAGACGTAAAAGTAATATGAATCAGCCTTAAAGTCGGATTCTGAAACACGATTTGTCAGACAAAATGGTTATTCAGCGCAGGAACTCATATTCTCTCAGACATTAAACCCGTAAGCGAGAGACGCAACTCTGTCAGTTTGCTCGTTGCTCCCGTTAACAAGCTGGTCATAGTAACACGGTAATCCTCTTCGGGATCCATGGCATTGAGAAAGGAAACTATATATTCAATCGTATCGGCACAATAATAGTATTTACATTATTAGGTGTTATCAGTTACGATGTACGATTAACCTTTTTCAGTAGCATATACTGCTATGTTCTCATAGTCACTACTGGATGCTTTTGGGCAGTACCACAGTCAGGAAGAGTCACACAATCAAGGGTATCAATAGCATAGCAAACCCTGGCCAATAAAGGATTTATTACATACTGAGATCCTTGATACCAACGTCGTTAATGATACTGATGCCTCAGTGTGAAGAGGTAAGACCACAGTCATTCCCATAAGATAGAAAGAATTTTAAAGTGAATGTAGGGCGCTACTTTCTTGTAAAGTGAGTACAGATAAGGTATTATAAGATTGTTCGTTGATTTTGAATTCAGAATGTATTCATTGCGATCAATGGTGATACAGATATTTTCCTTAGAAGTAATTTGAGTGACATGTGCAACCTTGACAAACTCCTACACCGATATCAAGTCTTTGAAAGGCATTTACAAGTGATACACATAATGAAGATAATTTGCGGATGTCAACTTCTTTATTATGAGGAACACAACGTTTCGGAGTAAACTACACAGCTAGTTTAGTTTCATTAGTCCCGATGGTTGTTGAAACGGCGTTTGGTTGTATTCCGACATATCTCTGTACCTGCACATTTTATTGCTGGCTATTGTTTCTGGTCGCCGATCCACAAAGCGTAGCTGAGACTGTCATTAATCGATTGTTTAATACAGACGTAAGACTATCGAGACGGTTCGAACACTTTGGTAATGAGGGCACTTTTCATAACTGTTCCTGCACAATATCGTTTTCCCGAATGTGTTATATCTGTATATTTTACACATAAAACGCTCTGCAACCAATTACAGGAACAAACGCGACATAATTTAACTTTTCAGCCGTAACACATGTGCGTGAGTGAGTGAGAGAGTATGTTTTCACAGCGATGTTAGCAATGGTCAAGCACTATCACGAAGGAACGCTTTAAGCACAAGACTACCCCACCACCCCGTAATACACCTGCAAGACTATACACTATATATTCTTGGTTCACACTGAAAACATATTACATGATAACAGGTGTTGCCGGGTTGACTCCGTTGTCCATCAGTCCCATTGTAGGTATTTCCATGTAGATATATTAATATTGCTATACTCGGTATGACGGTATATATATACTTTAGATCTACTCGTAACCATAGTGATAAAGAGAGTAATACTATGTGTTTAGGTGGGTGTGGAGAAGGGGTTTCGAGGAGAGAATTCAACGTCTCTAAGGCGAACCAACAATATCTATCTGTCGGTTGGAATCCGAGATTCACCCAATTATGTTTCTTAGTTTGTCATCCCGGTACTCGTTGGTTTCACCGAAGTCCTAAACCTCTAAGACGACAATCCAATGAAGCTGACACTTTCATTCCAATGAAATATCGTTCACAGCGGCGTTACACCAAACACACTCGCTGTCATTCACATCATGTTTCAACTGTTGAGCATTACAGCATATATACTTTTCATTTACTTTTTGATATAACAATATCGATATAAGTCAACATCGAATACGACGAAGAGAAACAACGGCTATCGCGAGCCAGATCTGACCCAATAAACCTTCTACTTAACGCCATGTTCACTGGGAATTTGGTTAATACGAAGTCTATCGTTATTTCCACCCTCCTTCCCAGACGTCCTTGCGGTCAACATGGTACCTTTGCCATAGGCCTGTGAGAAGTGCCAATTCATCGCATCTTATACAGTCCATACAACAAATTACAAATGTTATTCATATGTTTCATACTTGAAAAGTCTACACAAAGGTCATCAAATGGTTAACATTGATGGAGAAAAAATAACACGTGAAAAACTATTTCGATTTGCGTATTTTCCCTTTGTTTAAAATGGTTGTAGTGCTCCACTTGCTGTCATCGACACCCGTAGCTTGTGACAGTGGTGTCATCACTGCGCCGTGTGTGGATAATTTCCGGAGGGAACTACATGCAAACCATCTATCAATGCTCGTGAACCGTATGATTTGTAAACGCATAAGGTTTCTCGGTAACAAAACAATATGCGTATACCCTCTATTTGCTTGTTTTTACCATCAGTTTCCGTGTGTGTTTTTTCAGCTGAACTATTGATTTGCCTTTGTATGTGTTTGTGACGGATGCCAAAGGTGGGGTAGGATACACCTGCCCTTTGTCGAACACCTGGATTCACCACTGCTTGACAGTGGTTCAAAAACGCATGCTTGTGATATGACTTAGGGCAGAGATTTATTGTGATTATGGAAATAGTTTGTCGCTTTTATTTACTTGTGAAACAGATGATATAGGTAGACTGTTTTGTACAGTAAAACCGATTAATTGTATACCTGCGAACACTTGTCTGCATAGGAAAACAGATCATAAGTGTCTTTATACAATATACCCACTACTTTTCTTTGTTTGGTGAGTAGAACAGATGTACACCATGCGGAACGTATCACAGTATGTGAAAGCATATTCATGTCGAGAAGCAGGCACTACAACCAGTCTCAGAAGAAAGGCATGCGAAAGCTTTCTTCTCGATTGTTTGTTTGTTGATTTCGCCTCAATCACCAATATTTCAGTTACATCACGAGGCCTGTAAATAATCAA